TGCTGCTTTGGCTTTCTAACTGCTCAGACTGATCATTGTCAGGATGCAACTTTGGAGCCGATCGATGGTACTTCAACAACACTGTTGACATTTCAGCGAATGGACCATGCTTCCAAGACAACATTCACGGCCCTTGCTGATGAGACGGACCACAACACTGGTGATGGTGACGACTCAGACGGTCCGGGTTCCGATGACGATGACGATGATAACTCTGAGCCTCAAGGGTTTCATGAGCTTTCTTCTTTGATGCAACAATTTCGAAGTGAGAATCCTGAACGGCAACCTGAATTCAATGTCAATCTTGATGACCCCGTCGACGCGTTGAATGAGTTTGTTGAAGACGCCGATGCAGAAGACTGCTCAAATTTGAATGTGCCTGACAGTGAGTTAGCCCGCCAGTCTGCTGCCAAGTCTTTGGGTGAATCTGACATGGAAGGTGATGCTGATGCTGATGAATGGATCAACGAACAAATGTCGCAAACCCTGGAAAAGGAGCGGTGCCAGTTTGAATCAGAGATTGCCGGAAAGGCTTTGAAAACAGGCGCCAACATTCAGGGCCAGAACTTCATGGAAATTGCAGAATCCGTTGTTGCAGAGCCTCGAACACAGATCACAGTGAGCAACTTTTCGGTTTCTCCTCTTTTCTACACATGTTGTTGTTAGTCGTTAGTCTTAGTAGCTGTTGTTGTAGTTGTAGTTGCATTGTTCTTAGAAACCAACTGTGAGACTGTCAGTCCTCTTTTGCCAGTCAGATAGCCTTAGCGGCCTTAGCGGTAGAACTCACAATCAGTTAATTTGATGTGATGTGACACGATACAAATGTTAAATTAAGTCTTAGTTTGGGTTGGTCACCACACATATTGAAGCGTTAGCATCACACACACACATTATTGATTCATTGATTCATTGATCCTATCACTCATATCAGGTTTTGACGTTTTGAGTCTTGTGGTGGAGTCCTTGTACATTAAAGCAGCTTTGAAGCCGTAGTTATAGTTCGAAGTTCATAGTACTTACGATACTGCGTGTCTGACATCCGAGGAAGGTGCTACCGAGGAAGAAGCGATGGTCGAAGCATCATTGCATAGCAAGCATGGGCTCGGCGTGATGGGTAACCATGAGGAGGAGACTGAGGATGGTTTGGACACCAATCAGGGCCCAATGGCCACAGCAAGGCCCACATCTGGGTCATTGCAAGCGTCTGCTGTAGATGTGAAAGCCTTCTGTCCGCTCAACATTTTGTGTTTGCTCGATTTTGTTGGCAGACAGCAGGTTTTTTCTGAGCAGCCGAGCTTGAGTTCAATTGACATCCGAAATGGCACACATCATGTGGCTTTTCTGGTGGAAGGGGCATTGATTGCATGGGCCAAGGAAACCTTGGCTGCAGCCGCGATTTTGCAGGACGCGCATTCAGCCAGACAAAGCCACGGTCGTTTTACCCGGGACAACCGCAACCTTGCTTTGGCTATTTTGGACCTGCCTTCCTTAGGCAGGCAGTCAGTCAAGTTCATCCATTGGCAGATTCCTGGCAGAACAGGCAGGCCAGTTGAACTTGACTTGCAAAACAGAGTCAAAGCCCTTGTATGTGTTGGTGCTTTGAAAGAAGCTTTGAAGTTGGAAAATTGCATTGTGATCCATCCAGATTCTGGAGTGCCAATGCTGCGCGCAGGGGGGTATAAACTGCAAGAACGACCGCAGATGCTGAGCTCAATGTGTCGTTTACGAACCATGTGCGAGATGGCCCTGCAATGCCAAATGTCTGATGCTGATGTTGATGCTGACGTTGAGGAGGAGGGAGACGAAACCCTAGCCACAGTTTGCTTGTCCTCAGGTTCACAGTGTTTGTTTTGTAGCAGGCGTGCTGCTTCCCTACCTTTTCCGGAGAAATTGGGAACTGGCAATACTTCTCAGTGCCCATGTTGTCTACAGAAACTTGGTCGTTGTGTAACTTATTTTTTTGTTCCCTTCATGTCAGTTCCACAATGGTGCAATTGGTTTGGTATGGATTTAGCTTGGCAATTGTGCCAGCAACCAGCACACACACACACAAGGTATTGGCATGCATCATGCAATGACTTGCTTTCAGTTTGCCTCCAGACAGTGGATGCCTGCAATCTCCGCCCATGGTTCGAAATACCTGAAATATTTACCAGCTGGCTGCAGCCCTTCTTTTCCAACGCCAGGATACTTGAACTATTGAAGCTGCTTTCAGGTTTTGTTGTTGGGTTTGTTGGGTTTGTTGGGGTTGTTGTTGGGTTGTTGGGTCGTTGTTGTTGGGCCGTTGTTGTTGGGCCGTTGTTGTTGGGCCGTTGTTGTTGTTGTTGTTGTTGTTGTTGTTGTTGTTGTTGTTGCTGTTGTTCCTGTTCCTGTTGTTGTTGTTATTATTATTGTTGTTTACTAAGTTGTTTACTGTTGACTGTTGACTGTTGATTGCTGACTGCTGACTGCTGACTTTTGGACTATTGATTGACTATTGACTGTTACTGTTGACTGTGGCTGTGGCTGTTGCTGTTGTTGTTGTTGTTGTTGCTGCTGTTGTTGTTGTTGCTGCTGCTGCTGCCATTGTTGTTGTTGTTGTTGTTGTTGTTGTTGTTGTCGTTGTTGTTGCTGTTGCTGCTGTTGTTGTTGCTGTTGTTGCTGCTGCTGTAGTAGTAGTAGTAGTTGTTGTTGTAGTTGTTGTGGTTGTATTTTTGTTGTTTTTCCCCACCTGCCAGGCGAGGGTTGTTAGATTTTATCAGAGTTGTTTCCTCCTCCTCCTCCTCCTCCCTCCTCCTCGGCTAGCTGTCCTCCTCCTCGTCCTCGTCCTCCTCCTCCTCCAGTTTCTCCTCGACTATGTCTGCATCAACTTCCACCTGCACTTCCGCCTTGCCAACTCTTCGCCAAGCTCTTTGCCAACTCTCTTCGCCAAGCTCTTTGCCAACTTCCCAGCTCAGTGTGCACCGCTGGACCTCAACCTGGGACCTTCCCAGCTCAGTGTGCACCGCTGGACCTCAACCTGGGACCTACCCAGCTCAGTGTGCACAGGCTGGACCTCAACCTGGGACCTGCCCAGCTCAGTGTGCACCGCTGGACCTCAACCTGGGACCTTCCCAGCTCAGTGTGCACCGCTGGACCTCAACCGGGGACCTTCCCAGCTCAGTGTGCACTGCTGGACCTCAACCTGGGACTTGCCCAGCTCAGTGTGCACCGCTGGACCTCAACGGCCAGATAGAATGCCAGAAGGTATGCCAGATAGAATGTCAGATAGAATGCCAGAAGATATGCCAGATAAAATGCCATGAGATATGCCAGATAGATATGCCAGATAGAATGTCAGATAGAATACCAGAAGATATGCCAGAACATAAGCCAGAAGATATGCCAGATAGAATGCCAGAAGATATGTCAGAATATATGCCAGAAGATATGCCAGATAGAATGCCAGAAGATATGTCAGATAGAATGCCAGAAGATTTGCCAGTAAGAAAATGTATAAATGTCATGATGGGGATCACACGAAGTAAAGTAATTGTTTTTTTTGTTGTTTTTGTTGTTGGCGCATAAACAGGACTGCTAGCGCCATGAATCGAACTATTGGACGACTAATGGATGACTGACTGAATGATGATGATGATGACTGAATGATGATTTGATAGTCTTGAAGGACATGTAAAACCAAACAGATTGATGAATGAGGATCAAGTCGATCATGATCATTCCCATGACCCATGACCATAAAGTAGAAACTCTCAAACTCAGGTTCATTGACTCATTGACTCATTCCCTGGTATGCCAATCGACAGTGGTGTGCGTGCCCTGTGCTCAGGATTTGCTCTTTGTGCTCTTCAATCATTCATTCTTCAAGCAGTGCGGAGGCAAGCTGTGATTGTCACTGCAGTGTTGTCGGAATGTTTAAATTATTAATTGGTGGCCGTTGGATCCAAACATGAGACATTACATTTTAGTCAGTCAGAATGTACAAAACAAAGCGAAATTCATGTGGGTCAATTGGGTAAGCTTAGGTTAAATTCATTTTTGGCGGCAAGACAAACTGATTGGAGTTCTTTGATGTGAAAACTGCAGGTAGACCTCCACCCTCAACTCAACTCCCAACCATTCGATGACTATCCATGCTCTTAACTATTGTGATTCTGATGACTACCCAATGGCCCAATGTAATATGATATAAACTTTGATTTTGACGTTTGTAGGCTGTAGGTGTAGCCGATGAGTCGAGCTTATTCAACATGTCATTGCATTTGCTTGCAGGGGGCTACTGCAGCGTCGAGCTGCTCTTCTGTTCCTGCTGGAGGCCAAACAGGGCCAACGGGTAGTTCGTAGGTAGTAGTAGGTAGTAGCTAGCAATCGGATACCCGATTGTCCTTTTTTCCTTTTCTGACAGCCAAACAGCCACTTATGTCATGTTATGGATTAATTATATAGTGTATAGTCTATAGTTGTTAGAGGAACAGCTCGGCTCAGACTGATGCAACCAAACTATATAATACTGTGACTGAACTGAACTGCTGGTAGCCACTGGTAGCCTCACAGGTTCTACACAAATTGACAAATTATTTTCTTTCCTACAAGCTGATCCAGATGCCCGATGATGATCAATATATAATGTATGATGTTACTGTTTCCTTGCTTGACAGGACCAAGCACAAGGGATGGCGGTGGCTGTGAGCCACAAACAGTGCCGACAGGCAGGCAGCTCAGCCAAGCATGTGTTTAGATGCCGACCTGGTCTAATGACGACATAGTCCGACATATGATATGAGCTTTTGGTTGATCATACTTTGATAGTCTCAGCTGAGGTTGGTTGGAAGGAATCGCTTTGTTGCTGTATATAACGATTACTATCTTGATAAATGAGAAATGATCGTATTATCATAATACCATACTTGTTCCACATTCCATTGTCATATTATTACCAACTATATGTGACATTGAGTCCATGGAGCATGTACATAGTTATCACTTTTTAGATATCAGGTTGACTTGACATCAACTCACCCGAACAGATGACACAGACACAACAACATTAACATGTCTCAGAGTTCTCACACACGCTGCCGTTTTTAGTTTTGACGGTTTGAATGATTCAACTACAATATGGACATGCACTGCGCTGCACTGCAGTCGAAAAATCTATGTAATACACCAGTAGCAGTAGTAGTACTACTACCAATGACTGCTCCGAATGTTCATATTTAATTTTCAATCAATCGCACCATGGTTTTTGTGCTACGACCAAAATTCAACCCCAAAGCAGCCATGAGCGTTGCAGAAGCAAAGTCAGCAAATTCAGCACCGCCATCGCCATCGTCATCATTATCTTCTTTACCATGGACTGATGTTTCCAGCCCTGGCCTGCATGTGCCATCAGAGGTCCCATCAGACCAGGAACAGGAACAGGAACCACATGAACGCTCTGACGCTGAGGACACCGTTGTCATGTCTGAGATCACCAGTATTACTGGGCATATTCGTTCGGATGATTCGAATGGTCAAAACCGAGAGGCCATTGGTGAAGACCAGGAGCCTGTTGATTCGCCGTTCGATATTAGTCTTCTTTTCTCTGCAGATGAGGAAAATGATGAATATGATGAACGCGGCCCGGAGATTGCGGCGGACCCGGATGGGAAGGATCGGACGGAATCGTCAGACAGTGAAGAAGGCACAGACGACGATGACGATGATAATGGCAATGAAGAGCCCAATGAGCCCCATGATGATGACGATGATGATGATGGTTCTGATGGTTCAGGATATGACACAGACAGCAGCGACTCAGATGGTCCCAACGGGTTCTTTGAGCACCTACTCATGATGCAGCACAATCCGAATTTCCTGTCTGGGTATCCATGCAGGGGCTACTACTGCTGGTATGGGCCCAATGGGATGCGAAGCCGCTGCACTATGTGTGGTACCAGGTGGGACAGGAAACGAACCAAACCAGATTCCACCGATTGAGGTCTGCCAAGGCTCAACGGACCCATTTGTCTTTTCTGTTTCAGTTTCACTTGCGCAGTTTAGGCGTAGCAGAACCGCACCAGAAAAAAAACATAGCGGGCGGAGAACCATGAACTCCTGGAGGATTTTACAAAACAACAACTAACTACTATAACTTTACAATAACACTACATGTCATGTCATTGTATTATTGCATACATTATATCAATCATTGCAGAGTTTTGTACACTTCTAGTGGTGAGTGGTGAGTGGTGATTGGGCCAGTGACAGTGAGGGTGATGGAATGTTCTCATGTGTTTGGCCCATTTGTTCAATGTTCAACTGACCAGGTTCCAATGGTCCAATATTCCATTTCCATTATTCGAATCATTATTGGGTTTGGTTTACGTTTCAATTAAGTTTCAACCGTGTTTTTTTCCCCACCTGCCAGGTGAGGGTTGTTAGATTTTATCAGAGCTGTTCTCCTCCTCCTCCTCCGCCTCCTCCGCCTCCTCTGCCTCCTCCGCCTCCTTACCCGCCTCCTCCTCGCAGTCCAGATCCCAGTGGACACAGCCGGACCTCCACCGCGAGCTCCACCGCGAGCTCCAGATCCCAGTGGGCACTGCCGGACCTCAACCGCGAGTTGCAGATCGCAGTGGGCACTGCCGGACCTCAACCGCGACTTCCAGGTCGCAGTGGGCACTGCCGGACCTCAACCGCGACTTCCAGATCGCAGTGGGCACTGCCGGACCTCAACCGCGACTTCCAGATCGCAGTGGGCACTGCCGGACCTCAACGGGAAGAATGTGAGAAAAGATGTCAGATAGAATGTCAGAAGATATGCCAGATAGAATGCCAGAAAGAATGTCAGAAAGAATGTCATAAGATATGCCAGACAGAATGTCAGAAGATATGCCAGAAAGAATGTCAGAAGATATGTCAGATAGAATGTCAGAAGATATGCCAGAAAAAATGCCAGAAGATATGCCAGAAGATATGCCAGATAGAATGCCAGAAGGTATGCCAGATAGAATGTCAGATAGAATGCCAGTAGGTATGCCAGATTAAAGTGCCAGAATGTTTGCCAGATAGAATGCCAGAAGATTTGCCAGATAGAATGCCAGATAAAATGTCAGAAGATATGCCAGATAGAGTGCCAGAAGATATGCCAGAACAGATTGCAGAAGATATGCCAGCTAGAATGCCAGAAGATATGCCAGATAGAATGCCAGAAGATATGCCAGACAAAATGCAAGGAGGTATGTCAGATAGAATGCCAGAAGGTTTGCCAGTAACAAAATGTATAAATGTCATGGTGGGGATAACTCGAAGTAAAGTATTTTTTTAGTAGCTACCATATTCTGCTCCTTTCTCAATTTTTTGCCCCTAACCATGCTGATAAAGAGAAAACTCATAACAACTATATTGAGGAATTGAATTGATGTGTTTCTACTTGTTCTTATGTTTGTCAATGTTTGTTTTTTCTTGAGGTCAAAGTAACACTGTCATCGCCGCCGCCTGTATCCTCCCATTGTTGTGGTAAGCATTATCATCATTACTTTCATAGTCATGTTCACATGTTCATTGATCCATTGCCAATGCTCAGGTTGCACATGGGTCTGCCAGATCCCCAACATGTGGTTTGACTGGTGGATTCAGCTGGTTGCAAATTGTCCATCGTAAGTCCAACTCAGATCAACTAAGCTCAACGACTTGTACCCCTAGATTGTTCAGAACAATTTGAAGATTTGAAGATGGCATGATGTAAGTTTTCTGATATGTTTTGTCGGTGTGAGCTGAATGAACTGGTCTTGGTGTTGGTATACTGGCATACTGGCATACTGGCCTGTTGTTTTGGTGATGGGAAGGTTTTTACTAACCGCCAGCCAGCCCGCTTGCTTTCAGGCCAGTCAAACATTGTCAGCACCATTGTGCGGGTGCCTGGTACATAGTACATTGATAGTTGGACTGACGGTCAAAAACTTTGGTATTGAATTTGAGTCAAACAGTCAAACAGTATTAAAACAAACAGGTCAACATGAGGGACACAACGCGCTTGCTACAATGTTATTGTTTCTGTTTTTCCCAATGGTTGCCTGTCATAGTCATAGTTAGCCACAGGTCCAAACTGTTTAATCCGATCATCATCGTTACAGTACATGTTCCAATACAGACTACAATGATGAATGGTATCATATGTGAAAACTGCAGCGATGATTCCAAATATGCCATCATGATGCTGCCATTTTCATTTCCGAGGTGAACCGAACCACACAACACTTTGGAGTAAGCACGGGGCTCCAAGATTGTTAGGGCCAAGGGTCAAGTCATTTAAGTCATTGAATCATGAATCATGCAGGTATTCAAAATGACAACATATTCAAGATTAAAGATTGAAGAGTCTGGACTCTGGACTAGATTGACTGCTAAGAGTTTGAGTTCACTTTCATGCATGTTCCTGTTCTCATGCACATGTAAGACACAAACAAACACACACTTCATATACTCATGTACTCATGTACAAATGTACACGTAATCATGTATTGCCTTGCTGTAAGGCACAGACACCCACACCTCATGTAACTTGCTATTAGGCTATTACTAGAACCAACTTTTAGTTTTATATTTGCATGTGCATAATTTATGCCATAAGTCATTTGGTCTTACTGGTGATGTGATGGTCTTACTACTCAGTGGCGTATTGAATGCAGTTCTTCTCAACTCAATGTTGTTGTTTTAACGTAAGCTACTCAGCTACTTGACTATTTTACTGCTCCATTGTATTGTATTCCAATGGACAGATTGGCATCAGGATTCAATGATGCATGGATATTTGATATTATGCTTCCACATGTGGATGCAGATAGGATATAATATAAGAAATAAATACAACATCAAACCAAAGACCAATGCCATTGTTTTCGATCACACGCATCATTTGTGATTGGCCTTTGGGTTTTATTGTATTTATCTACATTTTACATTTATGGCTTACTTGCAATTTAATTCAGGAGTAGTTTTGTCTTTCCAAGATTCTGACTCTCTCTCCATCCATATCATGTCCTTTTCTCTTTCTCTATTGCATCTAGGTATCTTTTCAAAATAATTTAAGATCTGTGTTTCTATGAACAAGGCATTCTATGTATCTTTGGACCAATATTGAAAAATTAAAATATCATATTGTGTTCTACTATGATATTATGATATATATATATATTATATATATATGTGTGTAAAAATATTCTGAACTAGTTCTTCTGTTTATATGTAGAGGTTTTTTGTTTTTGTCTAGAGCCAACATCTTTACTTGTAATGGTATAATTTAATCCTATCAAGTTGCTTTCCATCTATCTCTTTCTGAAATCCATTATCCATCTAGTGACCCAGTTCTGGAATTCATTTGTGACATCTGCCTATGTCTTCTCTAGTCTGTCATAATTCATCCAGCCAGTGTAATATGTCAGTAGGTCGTTAAATCTTCACATTTCTGACTCTCTACAGTCGTTCATTCATCTACTAATTTACTGCTTGACCTCATCATTCATCGTGTATGTGTGTAAATTTGCAGATCTATCACTGATCACTGGTCACTGCTGACTCTCGTCTGACTGTCCTGTTGCTTGTCTAAATCCAAATCTCTCTTCTCAACCTATCTCTGTAATAGTAATGTAAAAATAAACAATTGTCATCAGCTTCTCAACACAGATGTAGGTCTCAGCCAACCCAAAGCCCACTTAAACTTTCACAAAAATTGCCTCAGCCTGGCTTTTTTTGGATTGAGTGGGTTTTATTTATGTTTTCTCGATCTTTGAACATATTTGACATGCCTGATTGCTTTTGATCGCATACAGTTATCTCTTGTGTTTTCAGTATAGCCACAAGTAGTATCTTCAGAATGCATGGGCTGCAGAGACATGTGAGAATATGGCGTTGGGTTCCTGTGACTTTCTTGTTAGTCATAATGTGAACATAGTACCTGGACCACTTGTAAATAGGTAGTTGAATTGCATATAGAATTGTATTTTGATAAATTATGTCCATAAAATTGCACACACACATACTTATCAAATACTTACACAATGTATCTTTGTTAGATTACGCCACTGTGTCTCAAGATGTGATGCATTCCTGAGGTGATTGCAGGCTGAATCGACATCTATGATTTGGGACTGTACTCAGGCAAAGTTCACGGAGAGGGCATGTGGTGGATTTTTGGACTTTATAAATCATCTATATTGCATCGGATTTTTGACACAAAACGACTGTTTGTGGGAACAAAAAATCATAAGAATCAAAATTTTGAAATACTATGAAAAATGCACTTTTTGAGGGAAAGTGCCTCTTGGCACAGAATTTGTGCCATGAAGCTGGCTCATGGCGCACCAATTGTGCCATGAAGCTGCTTCTTGGCAGCCATGAGGCAGGTTCATGGCAGCTTTCTGGTGCCATGAGGCAGGTTCATGGCATATTTTTGGTGCCATGAAGCTGGTTCATGGCACAAAATCCTTGCCATCAAGTGGTTCACTGCAAATAGGGCTGCCAAGAGGGTCTTCTTGGCATATTTTGTCAAATTTTGAGTTTGCCAAAATTAATGTATAAACTGTGGAAAGTTCTTCAAATCGACCAATGGAAACTATTCAGTTTCAAATATTATAAGTCCTGAAACTAGTTGTTTGTTAGCATTTGATATTCCTACAACTTCCTGTGGATGACGCTCTGGCCAGGTTTACCATGTCCTCATTGTCGCTGACTGACTGTCAAGGACACTGGATACAGAGTGATTTGGGTTTGGAATGGTTTCGGTCGCTGCATTTAAAGTTCAGCCAACAAATTCAGAGAAACAAATTTTCTTTCGAAAGTGAATGTACGATCCGACCACAATGTTTTTTGTCGCTTTCTTGCTTAGTCAAGAAGTCATAAACTACATACTAGTTACTGGTTGAAACTAAAACTAGAAGTACACATAGATCAGTTGCTGCTTGCATCGCACCACGATGATTGTTGCTGCCATTTGACCATCAGCAGGGGTTACTGCGTGATCAGAAGGCATTGTGAGCACAACCATGCCTTCAGACAATCCCAAAGAGCCACTTGAGAAGCAGAGAGGGCTTCTTATCCATTCTGACTACATAGGCAGGTTCTTGGATCCGAATAATCCAAAGACGGCCGAAGTCAGGAACTTTGCGTGCAGGGTGTTGAAACCCAATCATGAGTTCTACTTGGTGGAGTCAGGGCTGAAAGATTCCAATCGACGTGGTGTGTGGAGAATTTGGGCCAAGGCCATGTTCACAGGCAACACCTTTGTGACGCACGAAAATCTTGAGGAACACTTCTCTCAACATCGTTTGACACGGAAGGAATATGATTCCCTCAGCAGCAAATGGTCCACGGACAAAGGTGGATTCACCATGTGGGGAGTGAAGATCATAGAGACAATGGTCAAGACGCCGATGTATGTTGCTGCGAAGGGTGGTGAGGACTCAGTTGAATCGTTTGCTTCATGATTTGCTGTTCTACTTGTTCCAAAAAAAGGTTAGGCTTTTGCAATTTTTCCTTTTGTTGTGGATTTTCAAGGGTGCAACAGAAACTTTACTTAGGCTTAGGCTTAGGCTCGCTGTTAGTAGAATTTAGATTGGCACGTGAATCCAGCCCAACAAAACGTTTAAGCTTGTGCGGGGCAAGAGACACCTGCTGAGTAAGTATCCCCAACTTGTGACATCTGGGCTTCTGCCATAAGGTTAGCCAATCAATAGATTAAAAAAAGTTGTCACAGAGCCACATCACCTCCACCCAACCGGCTTTGCAGGAAACTTGGATGTCATTCACATTGGCCAACACATGTGCAAACATTGACGATGTGCATGCGCAGGGAAGCCCTTCTGTCGCAAAACGTGGTCGGGACAGTCGCAAGCCCCCTGGTGCCCTTGGAGACATCACCAATTTCGTCCATGTGAAGGAGAAGACCCCACCAGTGCCAAACGATTCTCAACATGAGAAGGGTTCATCATCATCATCAGCCTCATCAGCTGTGGTACTTGATCCCCCTCCAGCTCCTCCTGCTGCGCATGAGAAGACTGTGCCAGATGACACTGAGGAGATTGAGAAGCCGATGAGATTTGAACGCCAAGAGCATGTGGAAGCTAGGTCAGCTTCACCATCAACTTGGCCACCAAAGGTATGTTTCAGCACAGCTGAGGAGGCACTGAAACACTTCGAAATGGCAAAGTTGAAAAAAAAGGTCATTTGATCAAGGAAGATGCCAAGAACAAACAAGTTGATGACTTTGACACCCTATCTGACGCATTGGCAGCTACGATGACTGATTGCTACCCAGACCTATTTCCCGATGATGCTCGACGAGAATGCACCGGTCATGATGCTGCATCAGTGATAGGTTTGCGTTTGGACACAGCAGCACTTGAGAAATCTGAGGGCCAACCCGGGAACTTTGAGGCGGGGGACTATATTGTACTGACTAGTTGACAAGACAAGTAATGTGACCAAGACACACTCATGTTGAAGTGACCAGCTGGGCCAACTATTGGGACGGCCAAAAGCCATAAACACAATCGTCATAATCATAAATCTAAATTTACCATATAAACAACAACCATGGACTTTTGAATGCACTGGACAATCCAGTGGGTTACATCCGGTACCCATGCAGGTGTCAGATAACCAAGTTCAAGCTGGTCCTCATGCTCATGCTCCAGACCCAGCGGTTCCAGGTGGTGATGACCCCGGTGTGGCAGTGAGTTCTGGGAAGGGTGTTGACAAAGGCAGTGCAACCCAGCAGCAACATCACCAACCCGGCCAACTTGGTTCTGGTGCTGATATGGGATTTTTTGGTGGTATCAGCGATGACGATGCTGCGGCTGCGGCTGCCCCAACATTGCTGGACCCTTCGCAAGCCACGGCCCCTGCTTCTTTTGCTGAGATTGCCGTCAATCGCACTATCCCTGTGCCTGCCGCCAATACACCTGAACCTGAACCTGACAATTTCGTCAAGGGGCTGTCACATGTTAGGCGCAAGGTTTCCAACATGAAGGAAAACTTTGAGTTCTTCAAGCATGCTGTGGATGAGGTGTGTTCTGATGGTGAGCCGATTCGATCATCATTCCGAGATGGTTTCAAGCTCACAGACAACGACTTTTTGGACCCAGTGGAGTTGCAAGCAGGAATCAGCAACCTTTCAATCTCTACATCCTACTCGGGTGTTGGGGCGCCAGAAGTATGTGCACACTTGCTCAAGAACGAGGTGGAATCCAAGTTAGGTCACAAGATATCATCTCCCGAAATCTACTTTCAGATGGAATATGATGAGGCATGCCGCAGTGAACTTTCTTTGCTGGACAAGGTGACAGATCCTGAACAATCTACTTGTTTGTTTGGTGATCTATGTGACTTCTACGTGGATTCACTTCAGGATGTCGTGAAACATTTGATGCAGAAGCCAGATCTGGCTCTGGAGATTCTTGCAAAGATGATCACAACCGGAGAAGCAGTGAAATCTTCTGCCTATTGCTACAAGCACAAGAAGGTCTGCGAACTGAGTCTTTTCAGCATTCAGGTTTTGGATGACTTGATGATTGTCCTGTCACATACAGTTTGATGAGGTAGAGGATGGCGATGATGAGGATGATGATGATGATGATGAAGATAATGAAGATGATGAAGATGATGAAGATGATGATTGATGATGATGATGATGGTAATGGTGATGATGGTAATGGTGATGATGATGATGATGGTGATGATGATGGTGGTGGTGATCATGAAGATCATGATGATGATGATAATGGTGATGATGATTCATGAAAATGATGATAATGATGATAATGATGATGTTGTTGATGATTCATGATGATGATGATGATGGTGATGCTGAAGATGAAAGTGGTGGTGATGATGATCATGATCAGGATGACCATGATCAGGATCATCATGATCGATGATCGATGAATCAATGATCACTGAATGAATGATGAATCAAAACTTGTAAATCCTGAGTCCTGTCTTTTTTCATAAAAAGGTAGACTAAGAAATTGATACTCGCAAGATGATGATGTTAATGTGGGCCCTCCTTTCTTGGGGACCTTGTAGTCGCCAATGTCTATGACCCTGGGCCAAGCTATGTACTATGGACACCTCTATGCTGTTGGCACCAAGTTGTGCGTGTCGAATGTGAGGTCGTGACGTCGTGTCAAAACTCTTGTTCCCAGAAGCGTATGTTCCATGGACAGCCATGGATGCTATACTTCTGGTCACTTTAAAAAGGGCTTCATGTTCGAGGCGTTTTGTCCAATGACCTCATTCACGCTGAGGAGCACTTTCAAAGGAAATCAAGTTGTGTTTGATGATGGTGATGGTGCTGATGATGATGATGACGATGATAACGATGATGATAATGACGATGATGATGATGATGATGATTTTTATTATCTTGATCTTGTAGTCTAGTCTAGCCATTCGTCCGCCCAAAGTTGCTAGCACCAACTTTTGCCAACAGCAAGACGAAAAGGTACACTTTACAATGACAAGGCATAGGCATAAGGCATAAGGCAAAATCCTTAAGGCAATGATATGTGCATGCCGAGTCTGCTTTGGATCTGCCTTTGTCCTCACTGCTCACTTCCCAAAGGTCACATTAACACATGAGTCGGTTTTGTCGAGTTGTTGCTGAGATGTTTGATCTTGTTGTGACTATTCTTGTTTATGGCTTTGCTTGGCCCTTTCAATGTAAAGTGTTAAATTAAATAATATGGTAAATTATTCTAATCATCACCAGTCGTCAGTTCCAGTCATCATTACTGCTTGGTTCGGTGCTGCTTATTGCTAAGGAGAATGGCTCTGCTTCAGCTGGCAGGCACATCCTGCACAGCCTATGCCCCTTGTGGCAACCAGAAGGGCATCCAGGATTCTACGATTCTGGCCTTTCTTGCCTGGTGCGCCTTGAGGGTTTTGCTACAGGAGCCGCTCATATTGCACGAAAACTCGGATCGATTTCCCATTGAGCTACTGTTCCGTTTGTTGGGCCATTTGTATCACATTGACTCAACCATTGTCGAAGCTTTGAAATATGGAGGTGGTGTGCGCAGAAAGCGAAGGCTCACCAGGTTGATCCACAAGGGCAAGGTTCTCTCGATGGACAACCCGGGGTTCCTTCGTTTTGATGAACGGTTCCACAGGGATTGCCACATGGCATGGAAGGCTTACTACTGCCAGCACTTGATGGACGACTCAACATCTAAGGCGAGGGACAACAACAGTGGTATGTATACAGAGCAACAGTGAATGAATGATACACCATTACACCATTACACTATTACACCATTGGTTCGGTTCAAGGGATGAAGTGGATAAAACTTGATCACACATCTTTCATCTTCGCATTCTACATTTGCCTACAACTTACTCCCTGCTTGCTGTAACACATATACATGACGTGACAGGCAGAGTTGGAGGAAGACATGAAGTGGAGTGCATCCAGGGCTGCTGTGGTTCGATATCGTGCAAGCAGTGCAAGCACAAGTGTGGAAACTTCAGCTGCCGATGGCAACCCCAACCCTTGGGAATCGTGCTTGACTGAGTTTGAAACCAAATCGTTGGCGGCATATAGAGGCTCATGGCCAAATCAGGCCTATAGTTTGTCGCAGAATGGGGCGACTGGTTTTGCAATGCATTCCACTCCTGAGTCCCTCCACACCCTGATTCGAAATCTTGGGCTTGTATGGAGTGATGCAGTTGCAGGCGGGGTTGCAAAATGACATTGGCAAAAGCATGGCATGCATTTTGTTTTCAAAGTAAAGCATTGAAAAGCAAGGACAAGTTGTATGAAGGTTTAGAGTCTTAAATCTTTAGCCAGACAGTGCTGTTGCTATGATGTCATCATCGAATGAATCAATCAATCAAATCAATTTGAATTGTTATCTACAACTTCAATGCTAGTGATCAAATCTTCAATCAGTAGTCAAATCAAATACTGTATCTTCATTTGAATCATATGAGTTTCTTCCTTCAGGCGATGATGATGATGCCACCAGAGCACGATCCTATGGCAGATGGCTCAGCGGGAGAGAAGCTCTTTTGGCCCAAGCATTTCCTGTTCACCCCGAACTACACAAGGACTTGTGTGTTTGCTCGTTTCATTTCGAATCCAGTACACGTGTTGCACGTGTCATGAGGGCACAAGCAGGGAACAGCATGAATTTGTTCGCAATCTATGTTCAGCTGCTCTATTTTATCCTCTACACCAAGGCAGGGTAGTTCCAAAGAATTACAAAAAGAAATCGAGCTTGGATTCAATATCTTACTCTGAAGCTTGTGCCAAGTCATAGCCATAGTTAGGATTGACTATTGATTTTGTTTTGGTTCATGTTGTATACACACACTAATTCACTGGCTTGTGTTTTGTCCCCCGTCCCCAGGTGCAAGCACCATCTTTGCCTATCAGGGGACTTCATGCGATACGAAAGGGATTGAAGCGCAATGATGATCATGCTGATGAACATGGCCATGATGATGGTAATGGTGGAGGGTCTGTCCGAAAACGTATCCGTGTAAAGTCCCCAGCCCCTTCTCGTGGCAAGGGACAGGATTTTGGTCCAATGTTCAGTCGTGTATATGATTCCAATGTTTCCAATGACATCGACTGAGGAGAAAAATTCTGGTTCTTCCTTTGGGGGTTACTCTATTCGACCCTGTGGGATTGACGGGATTGACGTTTGAGTGTAGTCAACTTCCGATGAATTTGAAATGAACGTGCTTGCAGAATCCTACTTCAGGACCCTGCATGCATGCCTGACTCAAGGCTTGTACAGTAGACTAGACATCTGACTGCTGGCCTTGCTCCTAGAAACGCTAGGATATATGGCAGCAGGTCTAGGATGATGGTATGTCTGGGTGTTGCTACCATTTCCTAGGCATGAACGTTCCAGTCCAGTCATTTCGCATTGACACCGAATGTGAATGTTGAATGTGTTGGTTTTTGGTTCAACTTCAACAGAACCATTAATAGGTGTATTTTATTCTAGGACACCTCCAAAATGCAATGCGTTCAGACGTGTTTGCAGCATTCATGCATCATGTAAATGTTAAATTGTTTTTTTGTTTTTGCCTGGTGTTTGCCTCGCTCTCGGATTCGGTGACGGTAGAAGATGAAAAGATGCTTAGGCTTCGACACAAAGATGACTTCAAATTTCAAGACCGACGACCGACTTGTTCCCGTGGAATGTGGAAAAGTCCGAACGTCCGCGTGAACGTTGAGCACCTTCTGACTAAAAGACCAAAAGGCATATGACTAAAAGGTTATTATGTGGCTACGGACTCTAAACCCCAAATCATCTTATATCTACAATAGGATTCAACTTGCCAATCGCCAGCACCTGCCAACACCGATGCCAATTTCCAGGACTGATCAGTCACGTTTCCATTGCCTGCGGCAAGTGACGGGGGCCCAAGTTGGACAGAATTTCAGTGTCAATCGTAGCAAGAAAACACTGAAAATTGGATTTGGTTTCATGTAGCACATTGCTGTGATGTCACATGATGATGTCAAACGTAAAATTTAAGATCCAGATCATTATGACTAAAGATGAAGATGAGGTAAGGATGCTGAGGTAAGGTGAGGCGACTATTACTTTGACATTGTGAGATTGGGACAACATCAAAACAAACAACTAGGTTGACTCAGGGTGATCAGGCTTAGTCACACACGGGTCTCCGTAGAGCGAAGGTGTTTTACTTTTTTTTTGGATGATTGGATGATGATTCATTTGCTTGCCCACTGCCGGCCTCGATTTGTGGCTTCAGACGCTCAACTCAATTCAACTTGTTGTGAGCAACAGCCGTGTGACGTTGTTGTTGCGAGCGCCATGAAGAGACAAAGTGATGCACAACCCGGTGGTGATGATGAGCCAACTTCAAAGTCTATGAAAACCATGTCTGACACCGGGGGAGTAGGGCTTGACGATGACAATGAGTTCGCTGGACTACGTGGACAGTTGTTAGTCGAGGCGATCTTCAAGAAATGGGGGGCAGGAACGATGACAATTCCATGGCTGAACACAGAGACAAAGGAACGCAACATTCGAAGGGATGGGGTCAACAGACCCATCATGGAAAGCCTCGCGGAGGCATATGCCGACCGGATTCTCAGCTCAGGGCCCAATGCCGATCGTTCAGGACTGGTTAAGTTTTTGGTTGGGCTGGTGATTTTTCAACTTGAGTAGTTGTGACACTTTGTGCGGCTATTGTGTGTGTGTGTGATCTGGTATTGGGTCATTATAGGCGTTAGTGTTTCAACTGTTTCAACGGTTACACACCAGATTGACTCACAGATTGGATGAAGACTACTAACGGCAAATAAACTCAGCGACATGTGACATAACATATTGACATATTGACATGCTGACATACTTACCTTCGGGCAGGACGTGCGTGGATGTGCTGCCATTCTAGCACTCAACCCCTACCTGCACAAGCGATAACTTTCAACCATCGGAGTGAAGCGATGTTCAGAGCGATTGAGCGGGATCCCAAGAACCCGTACGTGGCTCGTGCCCTTGCCACTGGGCTGGAGAATGTTAGAATGTTGAAATCAAGTACACCACAATCGGTACGTGAAGCATTGTGCAGCATCCACAATGCGTACCACGACGGAACTGGGGAAACGTGGATGAGTTTACTCGACTTGGCAGGTGAGATTGCGACTGCATGGGAGCAGAAGGCAGCTTCGATGAACATGCAGACCAGGAATACGAACTACGAAACCACCTATGAGAAGTTCGTGTTCAAAGAACGAGCTGCAGAAGCAGCGCCATGTTCGGAGTCCTTCAACTACTTCAAGATTACCAATGTGTTGAACAATCACCTGAACCGCTTCAACATCAAGGGCATCGTGAGGGATTGGTGCAACACCCACATGAACTTTGCAGACTTCAAGCTGGTGAACAGGCTGGGCAACGGACAACAGCCAACAGCAAGGACAGCAACTAATCAACCACTCAACCGCTGCGTTTCTAGTATTTCGAAATTTATGCATTCACTGGTTCACTTGGTTCAGTTTCAATTCAATCACTAGTTCAATCAGCGATGGTTTTTGAATGTTTTCAGTTTTGAAAGCATTTATATAATAGTTATTTCTTAGTAATACACACTGCAAAGCAAAGGCGACACAGAGGCCCAGTGGCCCAGAATCAGCACTATCCTGCATCTTTTGATATTGGGCTCACAGATTCATACCTATACTCAACCAGACGAACCTTGCCTCAACCAGAAGGGCAAGAGATATGATACTACTGATACTAACTATTATTCCTTACAAATTCCTTGCATATTGCAACAAGATTCATCATGATCATCATGACTGTGACTGTTACCGAATCTTGCATCTTACAAGAAGCTTCCCAATTACGATCGAATCCAGAATGTCATGTATAACTACTGTCAGCTTCAGTTTCCTTAATCCCATCTGGGCATGTTTCCCGTCCATTGCAGGGACATCATAATGATGATCCACTCGTTGACTGATCTTGGTGAACGCGATGAAGGGCTTTTACACAAAACAACCCATTGGAGCTGCAATCGTGGAGGGTATCAAGTTCTGTGTTCCCAAGTTGCATTATGAGTCCTGACTGCCGACTCATGACTACCAAATTGCCTCACTTGGGAGAGATTAGAAAAACCTAAATGCGATACCGCCATACCGTCGTATGTTTGCCTTTATTTTTTCCCGTTGTCATACACAGATCAGCGCTGAGTACTACCAAAACAATTTGTATGTTCTTGAGTTGCGCTGATCATCCATGGGTATGATTTTGATTGGAATATGTCTAATCATGAATTAATTATCAATCATCATAAATAGTATAGTCTATAAGAGTTTACATTAGACTATTGACCAATACATCATTGTGGCTGTATCACTATCTCACTATCACTTGTATATGTTTTTTCCCACCTGCCAGGTGAGGGTTGTTAGATTTTATCAGGGTTGTTCTCCTCCTCCTCCTCGGCTAGCTGTCCTCCTCCTCGTCCTCGTCCTCCTCCTCCTCCTCTTCCAGTTTCTCCTCGACCATGTCTGCATCAACTTCTACCTGCACTTCCGCCTTGCCAACTCTTCGCCAAGCTCTTTGCCAACTTCCCAGCTCAGTGTGCACCGCTGGACCCTCAACCTGGGACCTGCACAGCTCAGTGTGCACGGACCTCAACCTGGGACCTGCCCAGCTCAGTGTGCACCGCTGGACCTCAACCTGGGACCTGCCCAGCTCAGTGTGCACCGCTGGACCTCAACCGGGGACCTTCCCAGCTCAGTGTGCACCGCTGGACCTCAACCTGGCACTTGCCCAGCTCAGTGTGCACCGCTGGACCTCAACGGCCAGATAGAATGCCAGAAGGTATGCCAGATAGAATGTCAGATAGAATGCCAGAAGATATGCCAGATAAAATGCCATGAGATATGCCAGATAGATATGCCAGATAGAATGTCAGATAGAATACCAGAAGATATGCCAGAACATAAGCCAGAAGATATGCCAGATAGAATGCCAGAAGATATGCCAGAACATATGCCAGAAGATATGCCAGATAGAATGCCAGAAGATATGCCAGATAGAATGCCAGATAGAATGCCAGAAGATATGCCAAATAGAATGCCATAAAGAATGCCAGTAAGAAAATATATAAATGTCATGGTGGGGATCACACGAAGTAAAGTATTTTTTTTGCAATCATGTGGGTCACGTCGGTACTACTTGACAACTTGACAACTGCTGTTTGCTAGGTGCCTACTCGCAATTCGGGCACTGGTGAGCGATTGATTCCCCAAATCTTTGCGAAGACTGGTGCGGAGACTTTGGCCGTGATGAATTATGTGGTGACACCAATGTCTACTAGCTCTGTGTTCAAAAAATTGGAGGAAGAGGCAGAAGCCAGGGCAGGATCAAAAGCAGATGCATCTGCAGCTTTGGATGGGGAGGAAGCTGGTCCTTCTCGGGGGCGTGCAGCTGGCAGGGGTCGTGGTGGTGCCGGCGGTGGTGGCCGCAAGCAAAAGTCAGTTTCAGGAAAGGCCAAGGCCAAGGCCAAGGCGACATCAGAGGCTGAAAGAGCAGAAGAAAAACCTGATGACCACTGGTCACCGATGGCATCTCCCTTGTCAAGTGAGGTGGGGGGTGGGTCTTTGGACGCCCGCTACAAGACGGCTTTGGATGATGCCATGCACGTTTTCAATGCCATTGCCAGCATCTACAGGAACAAGGTTGGTGAGGCAAGTTCGAAAGCACTGCAGATCTATGACCAGTCCATCATGACCTTGTTTGGCCACACCATCTCGTGTTTCTTCGAGTTTGCTTGGTCAGGAACTGTGGCTATCAACGGCAAATTCGTGCGCACATACAGTGGATTCCGCCAGGAAATTTCGACTTTCATCACAACAGCTTGTGAGCTTGCTTCCACGTGCTCACAGCCAGGCAAATCGCGTATGTCTCTGGCCACTCACATCTCGGATGTTCTGGACTCTGAGACCGGCTTGGCTGTTGGACATGGCATGAAGGATGAGTCAGATGAAGCACGGGCCACCAACCGCATTGTTGCTGCACTCAGCACTGCGGCAGCTTCTGGCATGGTCGAGTTTGTGAATGAGGTTCTGGAACTTCCGTTGGAGTTCCATGCGAAGTTTTCAGAGGTATCTTGTCTGCAACCTGCAACAGACTTTTACACTCCAGACATTGACATTAGACATTACAAGTAAATTCTTCTAGACGTCATATCAGAGTCTCGTCAAGTCTAGTGAGTATTGAATGCATATCGTTAGTAAAATAGCATTATAAATTTTGAAGAACTCAAAACTTGAACTTAAACAGCAAGAAGAAAATGCTAACTGTACCCTGGAACCGAAACTATGTACTTTATTCCCCACCTGCCAGGTGAGGGTTGTTAGATTTTATCAGAGCTGTTCTCCTCCTCCTCCTCCTCCTCCGCCTCCGCCTCCGCCTCCTCCACCTCCTCCGCCTCCTCCTCGCAGTCCAGATCCCAGTGGGCACAGCCGGACCTGCACCGCGAGCTCCAGATCCCAGTGTGCACTGCCGGACCTCAACCGCGACTTCCAGGTTGCAGTGGGCACTGCCGGACCTCAACCGCGACTTCCAGATCGCAGTGGGCACTGCCGGACCTCAACCGCGACTTCCAGATCGCATTGGGCACTGCCGGACCTCAACGGGAAGAATGTCAGAAAAGATGTCAGATAGAATGTCAGAAGATATGCCAGATAGAATGCCAGATAGAATGCCAGAAGATATGCCAGAAGATATGCCAGAAATATGCCAGATAGAATGCCAAAAGATATGCCAGAAGATATGCCAGATAGAATGCCAGAAAGAATGCCAGAAGATATGTCAGAAGATATGCCAGAAGATATGCCAGATAGAATGCCAGAAGATATGTCAGATAGAATGCCAGAAGATATGCCAGATAGAATGCCAGAAGATTTGTCAGATAGAATGCCAGAAGATATGCCAGATAGAATGCCAGAAGATTTGCCAGATAGAATGCCAGAAGATATGTCAG